TCATAAAAAAATGTAAAAAAAAACAAAAAAACAAAAAAAAACTAAGTTGGCATTCATTCATTAATTATTCACAAGTACATACTAAGTCAGGCACTGTGTTTGAAGCTAAGGGTACAAAGGTAAAAGCCAATGCCTCAAGGAACCCATCATCTCTTTGATAAAATACTTAAGTAACCAGTAATTGCACTATAGAGTGTTGAGTGCTATTTCTAAGAGAATGTATACATTATGCAGTGGGAGCACACCAAAGGTCATCATCAAATTACCCTGGGATCAATGATAGCTTCACAGAGGAGAAACACAGGAATAAGAGAGAGCATGGTGTCATTATATTATATGATAATATAAAATTACATATAGATACACATAAGCACAAACTCTGAAGGCATTTCTGGCTAGGTTTGATACCGACTTACCAGTTGTGTGTGCTGTGTAACTCTGGGAAAGTTGCTTAACCTCACTGTGCTACAGTTAAATCACTGGTAAAAAAGGGGTAATGATATCACTTAACCCATAGGGTTGTTGGACATTGTGCTTAAATATCAGAGTTGCCCTTTCTGGGATATCTGTTATAGTTGTACCACTTTCCTCAGCTTTCATCAACATGGTCTTGGTCTCCTTTCTCTACTTCACTGACTCAGGCTACACTGGAATTTTAACAAATTGCATATCACAATCTGGTGCTTAACATATATTTTTCATTAGTACCAAAGAAGTCTATACTGTTTAATACTAACTTCATTGAGAATTATTGCATCATATTTTTCAAACATTTCTGATTTGGTTGAAAACGTAAAATTAAGAACCCGGTGTCTGCATCTTTATTTCCTGTGATAGGAAATGGGAGAGATTGGTGATCTTAATTGTCTTTGTTGTGATGGTTCCTTATTTATACTTATAGTAAAACTTGGTTGTCATCTGAGCTAAAGTAGTCATAGGAAGTGTTAACATACATGAAATACTTGGGGCAACAACCCAGAATCTTCCCATGTCCTGCCTTCAAATTAAAATAAAAACATGCATTGTTATAGAAAATAGCTTAAAATGGTTCCCAAGGGCTGTGGATAAATAAATGAATAATAAAAATTAAACAAGTCTTTCCTCATACACTATCACAATTACACCTAATGAAAAGGGGATTTTTGTTACCCAAATAATTAAATTGTGATAAATGGACTATTAAAACACATACTCCAAAATTCTGTTCTAGAACTAAAAACATGGTAGTCAATTTTATCTAGAATACTATATTTATAACATAGTATAATGTTTGACTATCTATGTAAAAAAAAAGGTAAATTTTCTCAAATATATAGTTGGAAGATTTCTAAGTAGAGGAGAAATTGCTAACGTTTGCAGTAGACTAGCAATAGAGGTAGAAAATAAGAGCTCATGTAAATAGAAAAATCCTATTAAAGAAAAATAAACTGCTGAATAGAAACCATTTCTGTTGCTGTTCTATGAAGTGCCTAGTAATTGGGTCATAACTAGGTTCTCATCTCATATCTGAGTAAATGGGAAAATAATTGTTTTATAAGAATAATTATTGAAAAACATGACAAAATTCCCTAATATCCATCAAGAATTATAAATTTCTAGTGCTACAAGGGATAATGAAGATTATCGAATGCCCTACTTTAACAAACACAGACAATTTGGCCCCAAAATGTTATGATTTACCCAAGGTGAACATAATCCTATATAATCCTATTAAAAACTTTAATTTTCAACAACATCTTATAAAAAAGGAAATACACTCTTCTGACTTAAGTAGCAATAGTAAACTATTTCTACAGCAAATAGAAGAGACAATGTTTTGTATAGAAGGATAATGAAAAATAAAAAACTCATTACCCGTGCAGGACTGCTGTCAGTGGTACTAACAGCTACATCTCCTTGTTGAGAATTGGTAATATGTTTAATCCTCAAATCCAAATCTTGAGCAACTTCCTCTACTGCCTTATAAAAAGGATCCCTGCTGTTCTGACCTTTAATCAGCTGCATCTTTATCACTGAGAGTATTCGACCCCCTGCAATGCTGAAAATAGAAATAAGATCACTTTTATAATAGTATTAGAAATGACAATGTTTATAAGCTTGAAAATATAATTCTCAGAGTTAATCAACACTTTTCAAAGAATATGGCTTTGATCTTCTAAATCAAATAGTAATACACCTAAGAAAAGGATGAGAACCATTTGAAACAAAATTAAAAAGTTTTTCTAAAAGCAAGTTATTAATCATAATACAATAAAGGTGTTAAAAAATAAATAAATAAAAGCCAGTTATTTCAATAAGGTAAGTTACGTCTTCCTTAATTTGAAAGCTAAAGGCAAATAATTCAGTTATACATGATATATGATAAAAGATTCAGATGCAGTTATATACATGCAATATACTTAAAATATACACCTTTAGGTACAAAATAACACAAACAACTACCTTTCACTGGATACCTAAAACCCTACATAACTTAATCTTAAAACCAATTCAATAAGTACTATCACCCTTAAATTATATATAAGAAAATTGAGTCTCAAAAAGTTTAAATAGCTTGTTCAAGAACATACAGTGGGCTAGGAAGGAGGTGATGAGGAAGGAGACTGACCTGAAATACATGATATTGCATTCTAATATGAGAAGGGTTATTATATGAAAAGGAAACTCAACTATTTAATACTGACCTAAAGCAAACCAGAGACTGGACAAACTATGGCCAACAGACAAGTATTTTAATAAAAACTTGAAATCAATTCTTTCTTTGTACTAAGTCTGAACCTGAATGAATTTGGGTTGCAGTTCCTGCTCTAGAAGGCTGACCTAAAACCAATGTAAGAAATAAATAGAAAGGAGGATTTTGATCCAAGGAAGATATTAGAGCTGTCTAACAATAAAAGAGGGCTCCTTTTCGAAATCAGGAGATCGCCATCCCTAGAGGTATCCCTGGAAAGGCTGCATAGTACCTAAGGAAGTGGTGTGGTCAGGCTGTGGAGTCAGACTGCCTGCGCACACATCACAGCTCCCCCACTTTCTATCTTGATTATGCTATTTAACCTCTCTGTGACTTTTATAGTAGCATAAAGGAAATTATGAAGTTTTCATCCTCACTGCCTTATTGCCAGGCTTCATGTTTTAGAGAAGAAGCCAGGTTCCCTAATAACACTGGAAATATGACTGTTCACATTTACATAACTTGTCCAAATAGTGAAGGAAAGTTAGACGAAAACTGCAGAGAGACAATGTGTGATTGTGCAATTGACCAGTATCTTCCAAATTTGCCTGATCATCAGAGTCATATTCAGCATTTGCTTAAAATATCAACTCCAGATCCCGTTCCACTGAATCACAATCTCCAGAGAAGGGTACTGAATGGTTATATTCGTTTTAAATGTTCCACAGGTGATTCTTATGACTAGATGAGCTTGAGAAACATTTCATGAAAAAATTAGTTCCTAGAGAAAGGAACCATATTTCACTAGTCTTCATAGTAACAGTTTATACTTGACACACAGAAGAAATAATTGATATGTTTGTTGAATAAAGGACCACCATCACATGCGACAATCAGAAGTTTTTACTTATTAGACAAAAGATTTATACTTTACTATTATTCATATTATTATTGCTTGCAATATAAAAAAGCACTTACAGACTTTCAACTGACACTATGGCAGACTAAGTTACTCTGGGGAAACATTCCACTGAGCTTGGCAGGAATGGGGGAAATCTCTAAGTACCACCCGATCTCTCCCCTAAAAAGTGACAAACAAAAGTTGGAGCGGAAAGTTGGAAGCTCTGAGTGGTAAGCAAGGAGCATGAATGGGATTTTCCTGAGGACAAAAATCTCTAATAGCACTGTGATCAGGATACAAAGCCCTGAGTGGGAAAGAGATTCACAATGACTCTGAACCTTCCAAAGGGGAAGAAGCTAGTATGGCTTTTATTGGATTTGTCCCATGCATTTTATATTTCTGAAGCTTTTTGAAAAACATTTTCCAGTTGGTTACAGTGTAGACAAAATTGCTTTTTTTCCCCAATTGATCTGTGACCAGCAACACTGTTAAACCCTACCATCAATTTTAATAATTCGCCTTTAGATTCTTGGAGTTTTCTACACATATAATCATATTATTATCAAACAGAGTTTTATTTCTTCCTTCCTAATTGTTACATCTCCTATTTATTTTTCTTGCCTTACTACACTGAACTGGACATCCAATATTACGCTGAAAAGAAATAAGAGCAGAAACTCTTGTCTAGTTCTAAAATCTTAAATGATTAAAACATTTTACCACTAAGTAGGTTTTCATAGAAACCCTTTATCAGGTTAAAGCCCTTATTCTCAGTTCATTTTACACTGAAAGGATAGTAGCACTGTAGGGTGACTATGTTGTCCCAACAGACACCTCACCTTGGGCAGTCTCTGGCCTTTGTCCCCTGCCCCTTCAGACTTTAGTGGCTATAAGAATAGACCCTTCAAATCACCAAATTTAGCAAGTACTCTCAAAACAAAAGCTTCCCTTCTTGACTTCTCTCTCTGGCTTTCTTCCTTCCCCTACTTTTTGGCCTGTATTTTCATTATATTCACCTCCTCATTAATGCATTTAAGAAGTATTTTAAAAATATGTTATCCACCAATATTAATTATTTTCAATGGAAGGGTCAATTAAGGGATCTATTCTGCCATACATCTGTGACCAGAAATCTGAACAGACCCTAAGAATTATTTTATGTAAATAGGCACTCCCTTTTCCAACTGGTTTTTTTTTCTTAATTTTCAATTAAAAGTACAGAAAGTAATTGGATGAAATGTAGCCAAAAGGAAAACATAGTTAACACTATGTGCTTTTTCTGGGAAGTAATCTCTAATGGAAGAGTTTTGGAAAAGAGTCAAAAGGATAATCAAATATGAAAAAGCGTCATAATGTCAGTTACAAGAACCAAAAAAAGAAAAAAAAAAAGAAAAAAAGAAAAAGAAAGCTTTCAATAACATTAGGTAAAAGTCATCTTTGCACTCTCTTCTCATTCCTTCTACAAAAACAAATATCCTAAATTTTAAAGATATAATCCCCTGAATGAATTCTATTTAGGAAAAATTTATAAGATTTATCTTTCAGATGCTTGCCAAGCTTAGCATTTTGACCTTTAACAAAATATGGCAAATACCAGTGCTATATGACTAGTCTATCGCTATACATTCACTATAAGAGCCAACCATCAGCTCTTCAAATATCTGCTCGGCAACAAAGTGGCATAATTCAAATTCTTGCCTCTAGAGCCTAGAAACTCCTGAATTTTTAACCTGAATGATGCCAAGACATTTGTGCTAGGCACTAGAAATACAAAATGAATAAAGTGTTTCTTTTCAAGAGGTCACAATTGATCACTTGTGATATACAAATGACACTGAACGAAATACTAATGACACAGAGGGAATTTAAGTGGGGAGGTAGGGAAGAAGAGGGTATTCAGGAAAGCATCCCAGAAGATACATTATGACTACTCTGGATAAACATTAATAGAAGAATTTATGTGAGAAAGAGGTAAACTGACGCTCCTAACTACTAAATGCATCACATTAAAGCCCTAGGGCAGAAAAAGAAAAATGAAGCTAGTGAGGAGAAACACAATTAAATCCCCAAGCCTGTATCAAAACATAATGACTGAAAGAATAATAAGCAATAATGTAAATAATTGGTAATATTTTAATGTAATCATTGACTATCTTTACTATATAGAACAATTTGGCTTTTCCCTACCATCTTTAAGAATTTGATAACTATTTGCTAAAATAAATTACATCTTTAAAAATTAAATGTAACTAAAGGTGCTACAAGAAATACATTGAAAACACTTCTGAAATTTTTTATGAGAAAAATGTAGCATTAGAATTCTGGACTGGATAATTTCAACCAGATTTAACATTCTATAAATGTGTAATATTTAGCTCAATAAATATAAGTCAGATGTGCACTAAAAAGTTGTGTAGTAAACTGGAAATACAGGGTTTTAAACGTCTGAACAAGGAGCTAATTTATGTATTCTGAAACCTCTAATTTAAGATGTTTTTCAGGTGAAAGTATAGTATTTTATAGTGGCACCTACTGGCAAAGTGTAGAAATGCAGCCAAATAATAGCTAAGATGGCATGATGAAAAGCTGGCAGTGGGGAGGTATGATTTTAATTCCTTCTCTGTCTGTCTATCCCCTATCCTTCCCTGGACTCAAAGATTAGTGATTTCCTACCACCCTTTTATAAGACAAGCAGTACAAGCTTACACTTAGCTCCAGAAGTTACATACATTTTTATTTCTGAGTTTTAATGTTGAGAGAGACAGAGGCCACACTGAGATACAAGCAGGAGGTAGAGAGTACAGAATTTGTACGTCATACTGAGGTTTCTGGAGTTTTATCCTGTACCTAATATGGAATCATTGAAGAGTTTTCATTATTGGAAGTAACATCTGCTGTTTTAGAAAGACCACTGGCAGCAGTGAGGACAACAAGATGGGGCAATTCAAGATTGGAGGCAAAATGAATAACTCAGAGATAAGTAAAAAGCTCTATGCAAGAAAGGATCAAAGTCTGAAAACAGATTTTTCTATAAAGAATTGAAAAAGGTAGTAGCTGTAGGAATAGAGATGAGAAGAATATAAAAAATGTTGAGTAAGAAGAACCGATGGATCTTGGTGACTGAAGGGACAGAGAAAGGGGGGAAAAGGAGTTTAAGATATGTTCCACATTTCTGCTTGGGTGGTTGGAGGGAGAATGGCTTCATCAAGCTGGGTGCTTTAGGAGGATAAGCAGGGAAAGATGAAGATTTAGTTTGGGAGATGCTAAGTTTGAGTTTCCTTTGAGGTAACAACTTATAGGTAGTTAAAGATATATTTTTAAAATTCAGGAAAGGGTTTGAATTTCGCCGAAATAAGGATTTAGAATTTGCATATATGCTGTCAGAGAGGTAGATGGAAAATAAGAAAATGAGGGAGATTTCAGGGTACAAAGAGTAGGGAATAATAAGTTATGGGGAAAAGACTTCTAAGAGAGAAAATGATCAAATCTGAGGACTCAAAAGAGACCAGAGACTACTGCCAACTAGAAGATCATAAATTGATCTTTGGCAGTATAGCTTCAGTGGAGTGGAAAATTGAATGAATGTAAGTCGTTAAATACAGACAAAGAAGTAAATACTGAGTGCCTACTCTGGGCCAGAAGCTGTGCTAGGGCTAGGCAATATTAGTGAAGAATACCAAGAAAGCCCTCACAGAGTTAACAGCCTCATGAGAAATTGATATTAAATAATTACAAATTGGGAAGTAGAATAAAAGACAGCATTTTTTCAAGAATTTCAACTATAAAAGGAAGAAGGAACTGACAAAAACAGAGAAGATGATTTGCTGTTTTTTCTTATAATCTTTATAGACTGAGGCTAAAGGACTAGTAGAAATTGAAATTATATAACAAAACAAATAACCAATGAAACGTTGTCCCAATAGGTTACCCACATTATATCACTATTGGAAATATCCTCCCTTCTCCTTCATTTCACCTCCATTCTCCATGTCTGGGTAATTCCTTCAAGTTCATCCTTCAAGATTAAGCTCAACTCTGACAACCATCCAGGTGAACACTCCTGACACTCTTATCCTTGGCTCTCATAAACTAGGTCAATTGTCCTTTCCTCTGTACATCCTTCTGTTATTGCATAAGTAGGATATATCTTTTTAGTTTTTAATAACTTTCCTTTTTAAAATCATGAAATGAATATATACTTAATATATGTAAAACTGCTCATAAAGACTGCTCAGATGGACTATTTAGACACCCGCTTGCACAGCCCACTATTTAAACTCCCACTTCTTCAGTATCTTCCCTAGAAAATAGAGTAATTACTCATTACGATCAAATAGGATATTCAAAGCAACTGGCTGCTAAGTTGAAGAACTGAAGTCTATTTTCTCACCCTGGATGCCTCTAAAATGTATGTCTGTCCTGTAATACAGAAGTGTACGTACAAATACACTTCTACCTGGCTGACAACTTAGATTAACCAGAAATTCCTCCAAAAAGAAGTATCATTACAACAAATTACATTGGACTGAATACATGCATTTATATCTGCTCCCTCGTAAAGCCCCACTAAAATGATAAAAAGGCAAGGGTTTAAAATCATAAAGAAAAAGAGAATGGGAGGGGCGACAATAGCTAATGAGAGCAGGGACATATCATGAAAGTACAGAAAGATAAAAAGCAGATGGGCAAGTGATAAACTGACTACCCAGAACAGAGAAAGCTATAACCTAAGCAAATGCTAAAAGAAACACCAATAAGAAGCAACCTCAGAAACTCTCAGAAATTGAAGGCAATCCTGTAGGCTAGAAGGTGAAGGTGGGGTTGCAAATAAGAAAGGTGGTTGACAGTCTATATAAAAAACACAGAGACCTCTACATCTCCTCTCTTATTCTTAGCAGTCAGGCTAGTGCACTTCTCTCACCTCAGCATGGAAAGCAGGATTACTCTGAAGAAACTAAGCCAGAGAGGCCCCAGACCTAGAGGCACCAGGGACTAAAAACAGAGGGACTGAGTAAAAGTCTACATGTTGAATGGCGAGACTCAGCATCAACTTACCGTCCTCAAATCCCAGAATACTGCTAGCCAGACTTACAGTTTTCAGAAAGAGACTAAAGGATGCCTCTGTGGAAATTGTTGGGCAAGTCCCAAAGAAAAGACCTGTAGTTACTCACATTTGGAGAATCCCCAACAAAAGCACCAACTGGCTACCGTAGTATAATGAAGTCCATTGTACAGAGCTGCGAATCAGCTTTATAGGGCCTCATTGTTAAATACTAAGGAATAGCCAGAATCACCATACATTTTAGGAACACCTCTAACATGACAAAGGGCAAAAACAAAAAGAAAAATACTCAAATTAGATGAAACAAAGACCATCCAATAAGCAGATAAAAATAATCTTAGAAAGTAAATAATCTTAGATAAATGAAACATGACATAAGATCATATACAATCAAATGTGAGAATAAAGATGTTTACCTACCATTTACTTTTTCTCAGAAAACTACTTGAGCAATATAAGGGGTTTAACCAACTAAAAATGGAATCATGACATCGAGGAAACAAGGCAGAGGCAAAGAAAATTCACAAGGTACAGAAGCTTCATGGTTGCCATTCTGAAACAGGCATAGTAGGCAAAAGTACAGATTGAATGTGGAAGATAGACAACTCTCCAGAAGGAATGCCTTCAAAGGCAAAAAACCAGAACTGACAGATGACCTAATAAAAACAAGAAATTGTATAGTTTTGTTGACAACTTTGATAAAGAATTGATGATAAATATATAGGAAGCAAAGCAAAAGAAAAAAGTAGATAATCAATAACTCTAGAAAAAAACAAAGTGTTGTACAAGAAAGAAAGTCTAATCACAGTATATAATATAACTAAACAACAAGGTCCTACTATATAGCACAGGGAACTATATTTAATATCTTATAATAAACTTTAATGGAAAAGAATCTGAAAAAGAATATATATATGTATACATACATATAACTGAATAACTCTGCAGTACACCAGAAACATAACATTGTAAATCAATGATACATCAGTTAAAAAAAAAAGATGCTCCATATCACTAATAATTAGAGAAATGCGAATCAAAACCACAATGAGACATCACCTCACATCTGTCAGAATGGCTATCGTCAAAAATACCACAAATAACAAATGTTGGAGAAGATAGGAAAAAAAGGGAATTCTTGTACACTGTTGGTGGAAATGTAAATTGGTGCAGTCACTATGGAAAACAGTATGGAGGTTCCTTTAAAAACTAAAAATAGAAATACCATTTGACTCAAAAATTCCACTCTTGGGTATCCATTTGGAAAAATAAAAACACTAATTTGAAAAGACAGGTATGCTCCATTGTTTATAGCAGCATTGTTTAAAACAGCCAAGACATGGGAACAATCTACCCAACAACAGATGATTGGATTAAGATGTGAGCTCTACATATATATAAAATAATGGAATATAATAATATAATGGAATATTACTCAGGCATAAAAATGAAATAATGCCATTTGCAGCAATGTGGATGGACATAGAGAATATTATGGTTAGTGAAGTAAGTTAGAAAGAGAAAGACAAATACTATGACATCACTTATATGTGGAATCGAAAAAATAATACAAATGAATGTATATACAAAACAGAAACAGATTCAGATACAGAAAACTTATGGTTACCAAAAACAGGGAAGGGACAAGTTAGGGGTATGGGGTTAACAGATACAAACTACTATATGTAAAATAGATAAGCAACAAGGATTTACTGTATAGCACAGGGAGTTATACCCAATATCTTATAATAAACTATAACGAAATATGTGCAAAAACACAGAACCACTATGCTGTACACCTGAAACTAACACAATATTGTACATCAACTATACTGCAATAAAAATGAAATTTAGCTGCATAAAAATTTAGCTACATAAAAATTTCTTTTAAGTAAGATATAGAAACAAATACAAAAAAATTAAAAGTTAACTCCTTTGAGTTTTTACTATAAGTGTGTAGTACTATTTGACTTTAACAAAATATACCTAGACTGCTTTGCTAAAAATAAAATATTTTTAAAAATTAATTATCTGCTATCTCAGAAGATATGGCCAGGTAATATATTATTTGGAAGTTCATAAGAAGTCACTGATACTGACTATAAGTCATATTCAAACCCCCTTTCAAATTCACTTTGTTTTAATCTATATCTATATTTGAAGATAGATGGAAACAATTCAGAATAAAATCCTGAAAAAAATTCTTCCTGGAATCTCAAAGTGGAAAGAAGTTTTATAGAATAACATATAGTGACTAAGAGAATGGGTCCCAGGGTCAGAACTGAATTCAGATCTCAACTCTGTTACTTAAATATCAATGTGACTAAGGTAAGTTACTTAGTCCCAATGCTTCAGTTTCTTCCTCCCTAAACTGGGTTATCTATCTAGCACATATAATGTAAGGTTGTTGTAATGATCAAATATAATCCCCATATAGAGCTTAGTATAATGCCGGACATGTAGTAAGTGTTTGATAAATGCCAACTATTTTTATTAGTACTATCCTATGGCATACCAGCCAAATTGACAGTAATCTACCATGTTTAGCTAGCATAAACAACCCACTTTTGCGCCCCACAAACTAATCTAAAAATAACTCACCAACCAATATACTTATATTATAAATGAGAATCTATCACATTTTAAAAAAACCTCGTATTTTCAATATCATTTAAAAAGGAATTCCAGATGAATCAAAGATTTACACGTAAGAATATGAAAAAAAAACTAGCAGAAAACAGAATATAGAATTCATCACATTTTTATCAATTTCCTTACTCATTCTTGATATGGGTTTCCTTTATTGCTAAATTGAAAGTTTAAAAAAATTATTCAGTCATTTCCTATCCTCAAAAACCTATTTCTTCCGGAAAAAAGATGAATGGTAATCCCTCTTCTCTAGCCAAATTTAATCTAAACATGCCATTTGACCTTGGCAAAAATTTTAGGATCACAGATAGGCAGAAATTTAGTTGGGGGAGGTCATGTTTTCATAATTTATTCACATAGATGTCTGTTTCTTCTCCCTAGTTAGGTCTCCCTAGTTAGGTTTCTTCTCCCTAGTTAGATGCTTGGTCATTTCAATAACTCTTATATGCAAATCTACCTCTATTTCTGTGAAGTTTTAAAGACAGATTAGTAACACACATTTGTAATTTATGAAAAGTCATTACCTTGGATTTGGTATTTCTCCAAGAATTTCATCTAATTTGTCAATGAAATTAATAAAATGAGACAATCCTTTTATATGTGTCCTTAAAGGATCAGATGGTGATGGTGCATATCCTTTCCCTCCAAGCTCTAATGTTCTAATAAATGATGTGGCCACCTGTGAATTAAAACAAATAATTTAGTCATGTTTAATGATTTAACAAGTTAAAACTACATATTTTATGAAGCTAGGTACATTTACATATTTCTAGGTACACAGGTAAAGTGAAGCACTTTTTAGACTCATACCATACTTTCATTCAGAAGTAAATAATCAAAAAAACAGGTGCCATGGAGAATTTATGCCAGCAAGGGTGATGGCAATGCAGGTGGAGACTGAGGAGCCAACTTACGGACAAATTAAGGGCATAAGAATATGTTCATAAGAGTATATCACTGTCTATAAAGAATTAGTTGGTAAATATATTCTTCAACATAGATTGACTATTGGCTATTGGAATTGTTACATTGAACAAAGGGATTTTTCAGTGTCAATCATGTTGATTTATTTAAGGTTGGGCAATTAATTCAACTTTTCCAAACCTTAGCTTCTTTATTTGTAAAATAAAGATTTAGACTAGATAATTACTAAGTCCCATGTAGCTTTTCCCATGTAGCTTTCTCTTTTTTTGGAGTGAGGTGTGGGGAGGGAGGTCATTAGGTTTCTTTCTTTTTTAATAGAGGTACTGGGGATTGAACCCAGGGCCTCCTACATGCTAAGCATGTGCTCTACCACTGAGCTATACACCCCTCTCCATGTAGTTTTCACATCTTAGAATTATTTGATCACGTGTAGTTCAAAACACCTTGTCTTTACAGTGATAAAAATACGCTTATACACAAGACTATCTCCATCAAAGATAAAATGTTCTAAAGCTGTATTTTTCAAAGTATATCCTAAGAAAGAAAAAAATCTATATAAAATTTCAATAATCTGGGGAAAGTTTCATGGTTAAATAACTTAGGAAACAAAAGATTAAATAACAAGGTTAACTTAAGCAGATTTCTTTATGGCAGGACTTCTCAGAGTTTTTGACATATAAACATGTATTACGTATATCCAATAAGGGTATATACAATTTCTAACTTTTTGCCCTTGGAAACATTTACTCAAAGAGGAACTTTTGGAAACGTTTATTCAAAGAGGAACTTTTGCCTCTGGAAATATTTATTCAAGGAGAATTTAACAGGGCTAGCACTCTACAGAACATATGTTGGAAAACACCACTTTAGAGACGTTCTCCCTTATCAACTTTGAAGGATATGGTAAAAAATAAAAGTACTACGGGTTCTCAAATATAGAGGTAGAACACATATTTGCAATTTAGGGTTTGTTGTTTTATCACAGTTACAAGAATTCTATATTAGGGTACATGGCTCTACTGTTCAAAGAGTTTTTAAAAAGTCTTAAAAATGTAACATGTCCATACCAAAAAGATAGACATCTGTTTCTCTCGAGCAGCATGTTTCAAAGCAGTGAAGGCTTCTCTTCCAAGTCCTCTATCAGGAATATTGAGAATATGAGCCAGAGCCAAGTCATTCTTTGAATTCACCAGCAGGTTTAAATACGAGTAGATAATTTTCTTTGCTAGTAACCGCACCTGTATAATAAAATATTATTTTCTTTATTGAAGATGTTCTAAATACAAAGATCATCTCTTTTTTATATGCAGTAAAAATATTTATGACTATTCAATATCTTACTCAGCTCTTTGGGAGCAGAGAATTGCCACATAAAACAAAAGTTGGAGTTAAACAATTAACATATCCTTGCTCATGAAACCAAGTTGCCACCTATGATACTCTATGAACAAATAACAACCTATCATAATAGTTGGAAGATGTCTCTTAGAAAATAATGTAAAAGATACAGTCCAAATTATTAAGGAAGTCTTGAGTTTTCATACATCTTAAGAGAACTTTCAAAGACAACATGCTTTTGGATTACTTTAATTTCATGTGGAAAAAAAATTCTTGAAATATGGGAGGCAGTCAGGGTCAATTTAAAAAACCTCAATGGACAGGAAAATGTTACCTTAAATACAGACTCAAAATACAATTTAAGTAAAATTTATTAAAAGAAAGAGTTTAAATATTAACTATGAAACTTTTTTTCTTATATATTAAAGAGAGTAAATGTGACCTTTGCAGGGAGGCTCTCTGATTTTCCAAAATAAAGTAGTGTCAACTGAAAAAAATGCACAATGTGAGAGTTGTGAGTTAAGTGTTATTTGGGGCAAAATAAAAACTATAGCTGGGAAGAAAGCCTCTCAGATAGCTCTGAGGCACTGCTTCGAAGAGGTAGGGTGGGAGGTCAGTATTACATGTGATTTTAGTAAAGCAGGATATGTGCACTCCGGCACACATTTTGGCAGAAGGTTGCTGCTAGTCACGAGGAGTAGATGTCTCCGTTAATGTTTTTAGTGCTTTCCGAGATATGAGAAGATACAAGAAACTGCGCTCATAAAATCTCTTGAAAATATCTAACTCTGTGAAGGCCTGTTCTGCCAGTTTTTCCCAGAGAACAGAGTGCCTCATTTCTGATCTCCACCCTGAACTCCATGGAGGGTGTGTTGAAGGTCAGTGACTGCAGTGGCTCGTGATTTCATTCATATAGAACCAAATGGCAAGTATCAACTTTTTCTTGGCAGGAGCAATTCACATATTCCCTTTCTTATCACCCTGTTATAACTGCATATCTGCCAGTTATAATTCTCTGCACAAGTCTTAATACTTTCTGATACTTTGTTTATTTTCTTAATCTTTCTACTATTTTATGTGTTCTGTGAGAGCAAATGATGTATCCTTAGAGCCTAAAAGAATGACTGGCATTATAGCAGGTAATCAATACATTTTTATTAACAGGTTCTCAATCAGTTTTCATTCAATGACAAACAAAAGAAAAATTAATATATGCCCTTTTAGATATTTCAAAATTGAAACTACTGATAAAAACTTATCTGGGACCAAATAAGTACTTATATATTTTTATCATATTGCCTTAAAAACAGAAGTACTAGGGTACAACTAAATTAAAATTATCTTTAAGATTTGTCCTAAATCTTATAAAATAAGGTATAACACAGTTTTCTGCTCATATTTCAAGTGTCTTTTTATCTTTACTTTCACAGTAAATCACAATACTTAATGAATCTATAATACAAAGATTTCCATTTTAACTTCACAGTGCAACAGTCTGTCTAAAAACATAGGAATTTCTTCTTTATCCCTTTGAAATTCGGGAAGGGTAACACAATTTGCCAAAAATCAAAGCAGAGAAAAGTGACATTCACAATGGAATCAGAAACTTCTTTACTCTTTCTATATTTAATCTCATGCAATCTCTGTTTTCACTGTATTTCTGCTGTTCAAAAATAATGAGAATTTATCAATATGTGTATGTCTAATCCTTATTAAGTACAAAATCTGGACTTAAACTCCCATATCTACAACTTGCTCTTTAAGGCTAGCAAATTCTGTTCTTCTGATCTGCGATGCTAGGCAAACATCAGGGAAAAACATCTTGGAGTCCTCACAGTTAGAGTGTTTCTTTTAACTCATGGCTACAATTGGAAATCTATCCCTATCATTATGGTCAGATAACATGGCAGTTATGGTTTCCCTGCTCTTGTATTTGCAAGTGGGTTTTAAAGAGGCTCTCTGGAAAAGCATTCCACATAAATATAGTTATGATGTCCAGAAGCAAGGGCCTAAATTGAAAAATCCACAAAATTGAAGCTTTTACCAAGATACCAAAAATAAAGATAGTGTTCTGTTTATTTGTTTAATAAACTGATTCTATCCATACCACAAACTATTTGCAATGTTTGTTCAGACATAAAACAATTTTATTTACGCTTTCTGATAATTTCAAGTTAATTATTACTGAAATGCAGATATACCATCTCAATTTGAAGAAAGTCAGTTTTTCTATATTGAGAAGATTAACGATTTATACAGGTATTTTTTTGCTTTCTTGGTCAACACATAAATTCTTAGCTATAATGAATCAAAAAAAGTTGGATTAGAACTAATATATCTGTAGAATTTTTTATTTAACTGATTATTTTCTTTCAGGGCCTTTATTCTATTTTCCCTTCATTACCTTAGAATTTCTAAAGCAGTACTTTAGTACCTTAGGGAAAATTAAATGAAGTAAAATTTTAAAAATAAGGAAACAAAAATATCATTTCTCCAATTCATTCCATTCATCTACTTGAGGAACTGGTGTGGCATTAATAAGCACATTTGGTGATAAAAATATATCTTTGCAAGACTGCTGCCCCAAAAGTCACTCTGGAGTTTTAATAGAAATATACCGCCTTCCAAAAACGCTTTGTAAAAAGAAAAATTAGAAGTCTGAAAGTAATCGAAAAATGGTTGACAGGATGGCTGTTACTTTAATAGTCCTCATAAAATTTAACCCATCAGTTAAATGGTAGATAAAATTCTCTTAGAAAATATAATCCAAGAAGGCAAAAGATAAATAGTAGAGGATTAATGCAAAGAAACTCATTGTTTTTCAAATGAGAAAACTATAAGCTTACAATGAAGACCCTTCAGTTTCTATATACTATAATCTTCTTTCATGGATATCCCTTTAAGATAGTATTTTATATCTATAAGTCAAGACTCTAAAAGCTTAGGCCATTTTACGTGTACAAATTAGTTCATTCTTCTTAAATAAAAGGCACAATAACAATTGTTTCCTCCTTGTAGAGCCTAGAAGACAGATCGAAGAGAAGTGATTTATAAGTGATCTTGATGTATGAATGTACTCCTTTAAGCACCACTGAGAAAAAACAATTTGGTAAACATTTTGTCAAGGTAGGATGAAAAAACAAGGGGAGTGAATGCAAAAAAATTAATTTCTAGCAGGAGAAAATAGTTACAAATCACTACAAAAAAACTATGCCTGGGCAGGAAACAATTGAAGGTGGGCTTAGAATATTTTCTTGTATCAGAAAAGAGGGACGTGCTCAAAAGTCTAATAGGGCATATAAAAAAAACACAGAAGCCAGCTTGAAGGGGACCCCTATATTTTAGCATCAAAGATTAATGACTAATTGATTTTAAAACTTTGAATAAATAAAAATCCATAAGTACACAGTAACATATACACACATGAAAAAGAAAAATAGAATAAAATTATCTAATTTGCTTCCTATAGTACAAGTAACTATTACACCAACTACTAAACTGGTAATTAAAGAGAAAGAATTAACTAGTGACCCTACCATTTTTAGAGAACTGTACTTCATACCAGTTGATAAGATATAGCTCTTCTTTACTGAGAAGGAACATGTAAAGACATGACAGTTAAAAGACTCACCATTCTGCAAACTCTAAAGAAAAACTGACTCAGACAAGGATCATCAATGCATGCTTAAAACCATTTGGTGAAAGGTTGGAAAACAGGGTATTAACAGTGTCAGAGTATCACAGATCTCTTCTGACAGCAAAAGGAAAACTACATCTTTATACTGGACAGACCCAGCAATTGAGGAGAACTTGGGTTTGTGTCTTCTGATGTGACACAAAATTAAACAGTCAGCATCAGTTTGAAGTATTTGTTAGGAAATGTTAAACCTCAATCTAAACAAGCTTTTAGATGTAACTTTCATTTTATCGTAAATAAGAGGAACAAGTTAAATAATACCAGTAGGAACTCATCAGATGACAAGAAGGGAAAAAAAAAAAGACTTGTGGGGAATACTTCTAGATTAAAAGAATCTAAAGAGACACAAAACCCATTATGGGGACAAATAGAGAGTTCTGAATAGGGAAGATAGCGAATGATACTAGGGAATACTTAAGTATTCTTATATATAATATAATGACATTGCAGTTATGCCCTTACTCTGAGGAAATGATACGCTGAAGAATCTTAGGGATTAAATGTCATGATGTCAGCAACTTAACTTTCAAACAGGACAAAAATCACTTCTAGGCCTTGTGGCTGAGATCAAGTGGAGTACCAAATAGGACAGAGAAAATATTAGATTTTTCTAATATATAGAAGATATAAGGCACATTACTAAGCCTAGGAAGTAGGTAGATAGCTATTTATTTGGGGGCAGTGATAAAATATATTTTTAAAAGTGCTACCTGCATAGCATGGGACTTATGGGAGAATCTGCCTTAGCAACATTTTCTGAAAAATGAGGGTGATTCATCAAGCGTGGTAACTTATTGGAGCATTTGGATTTGGAAGTTAGCATATTCTAGATCTTTTATACACCACATTTTTAGATATCCTTTTTCTAATAATCTTAAACTTTCATCTTGTCAATGGTAATTTTATTAAGAAACTTTCATAAACACAACTTCCATGATTAGTGAAGGATTATTACAACTAATTAGGTACCTAGCATAATGTTCAGCAGAAGGTAAATTATATTAGAATAAATCTGTACTACTTTTCTTGTGGTTTGTTTGCACAACAAATCCTGTTATTAGAACTTGAGATGCATTAGTTATTCTACTCCAGAGTGCAGAACAGATTTTTCTGTTGTACGTATCTTTCTAAAAATCAACCATTTAAAATGCTAACTGTGAAGTTTACCAAATAGAAAACCTGTACCTTCAAGTACTTTTCTGATATCTGGAATGATAACCTATTTTTGCACAGCGCCTGTTACCACGGCCAAAACCATGAATAAACTGATTATTATCATGTGCCTGCCAGTTTTCAATGTATTACTCCTTGTAAACATAGTTTTATTTAAACAAATTAAAAACTTTTAAAAAGAGAAAAAAAAACAGCAACTGTAATGTACAATCAATTCATAGTGATTTGAAGGGATCATATCCTGTTTTAATTTACTCATAATTTATCCATACCTTTTCATTATCCTGGTTGTGTTTACTCATTGGTGATGTTGGTACACAGAAATCAGTTTCATCATCTACTGCATATTGTCTGCCACACAGAAAATCCCGTAGTTGACTCTGTAAGTAATATAGGATAACAAAATATTATGCCAACTGTAAAAAGTATTTCACACTTAGCTTTAGTTAGTGTCTCTGACGTTCCAGTGTACAGCGTATTACATGACCTCTGTCAGCAGTGCATAATACACATAGAATTAAACTTCCTATCAATCTCTTTCTAGTACACATGAATTCAGTTTTACACATTTAGAGTTAAGAGATAATGTTGGAAATTTCATCTGAGCCTTTTATTTTTATGGAAGAAAATTAAAGAAGTCTTACCTAATGTCCACAATAAATGCTTCATTTTGGCATATATATATATGTAAATCTATTTCTAAGTGGCATAATATTTCAAATAAAATGAGATTACATGAAAAAATAATTTATAGAGATATTTGCTTTCAGCCTACCATACTACTCAACATTTCCATATTATTTCATGTATTTTAAGGGACCTAAGATCATATAGGTATGTATAAACACACACACACGCATATGCACACACATACACCATCCTGATAAGTGAATCTAAGAAAAAGATACAAACTGAATTAACAGCCCAAGAGATAATGCAAAGTTACAACTGAAGTAACTCATCAGTATGTACTTCTTAAAAAGAAATAGTGTTTGCCACAATTCTATTGATGTGATAAGCTAGTACTCATAAAGAGTTAATCATGAGAGGAAAAGAAAGCAAAATTAGAAAGCCTAGGATTTTGTTGTTCATAACATATATAATTTTTCAATCTCAAAATTCAAGATCACCAAAAAAAGAATTCACTATTCAACAAATTTTGAATAAAGGTAGTCCTCACATTTGCAGTTCTTATGTTTTCAGAAGAGATGTTAAAAGCAAAGATTTATTTTTCCATAAACACAAATGTTATTTTTTAAAATGAGAGAATATTACCTTCAGGTTAAAAGCCATTTTCGTATTTAATTATATGTAAAATGCATTATTCTAGATCAGTTCAGTGGGTCTCCAAGTATGGTCCAAGGACTCCTGAGGTCCTTAAGACCCATTTAGGGAATCTGGGAAGTCCTCCCTTTTCCAACTATATATCAATGTGATCCGAATTTTCTTGATATACTTCAGTCAAAACAACATATCAAACAAAAGCATACATGAGAATCCAGCTATTTTCTATCACATATGACACTAAAGGCATTTGTAAAAATATAAAATAATGTCACTATTCTCATAATTTTTTTATTTTTAGAAAATTAAGTTATTCTTTGTTATTTCTATTAAAATGTAATACGTTTTTGTCAATATTTTAATAAGTGATAAACATACACATTTCTCAATTTTATTTAATATGGCAAATATCAATAGATATAACTCACATGAACAAAATCTCCTTCTAGTCCTAGATAATTTTTAAGAGTGTAAGGAGGTTCCCAGACCTAAAAATTGGACAAGCACCTTATTTAATATAGCATAAAATTTTCTGAGGTAAGCATAAAAATCGCAATACATTTGCTGTGATATACTATTAATTTTAGATTTGTACCTTTACTGATTTGACAAGTTGCTATTCATTGTATTTTTATCCTCTTATTAATTTGGAAGATGTACTGTATTTTTCCCACTATGTTCCACTAGTGGTTACCTTCACTTTCCCTGTTTTCAATCAGACTCATATTTCTCTATTCTTATTTAAAAGTGATAACGCCTGCTACTTACCCCTAACAAACTACAAAGTTTAGCAGTTCTGATTCTAAACTAGTATCAGAATCTCCCTTAGTATAAGCCTTCCATTTAGCACACATATTCCCAGTCCATCCTTATCATTTTAATTATACATATACTCTCCAAGTTTTAGTGCACACTACCATCTTCCCCTAGATAGGTATCTGTTCGAGTTTATCTGTTCAATTATTATTGTCTTTGGAAAGGTAAATGCTTCACAAGAGGTATGAGGAGGACATTCTGTAAATTTTTCCATATCCTCACAAATGCTTTAATTTGGCTGATAGATGATATCTTGGTTGAGGATGAGATTCTTAGGTCCCTGTCCTCTTCTTTCAGGACATGCTATTTAATGTTTTGTTCTTTTTAAATAACTTGTTCTTTCTGCAGGAAATTAATTTTATCTTCATCCTTAAGAGTTCAGGAATTTTACCAGGATATGTCTAGGTATGTCTTTTCTCACCAATTCAGCATGAAACTTCATAAACACTCTTAACCAGGAGACTCAGGAAAATATTTATTATAACAAATGTAGTTGTAACATATTTATTTAATCATGGCCTCTTTAGCATCTATTCTTTTTTCTCCTTCTGGGACTCCTATCATTCATATGTCAAATCCTCTAGATCTAGATGTAACCTCCAAGTTTCTTAACTTTTCCTTCATTATTTCCTTTTTTTTTCTATGCTTTAAATATTTATTGTACGTGACTTTCAGGATACTAATTTGAGTTCGAATTCATCCGTTACATTGGGAAATTTTTTCTTTCTTCTTTCAGACCTAGAAAGTCTTTTGTAGGTGTATCCTTAAAAATCCTTGAGTACTTCCTATTTTTATGGATTTCAGTTGTTATCATTCCCCTCTAGCAGCTCTACTTTGTTGGGCATGTGTGTTCTCAGCTGACTCATCTTTCTCTGGCTATTGGGACTCCTTAGGTTGTTGTTGCTTCTCTTCATTGGCTCCTTGGGGCTGAGTCAACTGCTGAGGTACATTAAGTGATGATAGTTCCACAAGTAATAGAAGATAAAATAGTCTCCACTCCTTATGGAGAAGCAGTGGAGAAAGAAACAAGCAGCCAGTCACCTGCTTAGGCTGAGGAAAAGTCTTCTTGTGGTCTTTCAAGCCTCACCAACAGTAACACCATCAATTCAGCTGCTTCCTGGCTTCCTGAGAGTCGGGAAGCCCTCACACACTCACAAGGCAGTTGTTGACCTTCCCCAGAAAGTCCCCTAGGGACTGCTAAGCTCTTCTTAGGATCTACCATTTCTGCTCCTTAGCCCAGGTCTCTGATTTGTCCTCCAGATAATCACTCAGTTCATGAGAAAGCAATCTTCACACTAATTCTCCCCACTTAGACTCCAGTTAGAATCCAAGGCCTTCTATGCCCCCAGATGTCCATGGCCCCTGCATCCACATTCTCAGGAGAGCACTTAGAAAAGTAGGAAATAAAGGGGAAAGGGGCATTGTTAAAATTATCATGTTCCCAGAACTTCCCTGTGTTATCTTTATCTTGATTTCTCATAATTCTTGCCTTATTTAGGCTACAACAAATTAGAAATAAAAAATCTTTATCAGGATAATGAAATTTCAGGACCCTGAAACTCAGAAATGTTTAGAACCATCTGATATGCATCTTTAAAGATTTTTTTAGCATAAATTAGGGTTATACTTAGTGCATTTTTGAGAAATCAAAATCCATCTAGGGATATTTTCTGGCTCACTTTTTCCTCATTGGAAATTTCCTTTGACTATCGTAAGTATCAGAGATCAAGTTGTTAGTATTCTAAGGTTTAAATGCAGAAAATCTACTTCATATACTACCATCTCAGCAGCTCCCACTTCATTCCTGATGTTATGCAGAGGAGACATTGATATTTGGAGACAGAATTCCTTCAAATTTAGGCCCTTATATACATCACACTGTAAGTTGATTCACTTAAATAAAGAGACTTATTAGAGGACTTAGAGGCAAAATATAAAATGAAAGCAAAAACCTCAGGCAGATTATACACTCACTGGCTTATCAGCTCTTATTTGTTGTTTCTACAACCTAATACTTATGTTTTATTAAGCTCTCTAAATTAACTTTGTGAAAAGTAGTTAAAAATCATCTCTACAAGAAAGCAAATAAAATATAACTAGGGAAGAATAAAAAAAACTGTCTTCACTCACAAGTATCCTTATCATAGTATGAGTGTACATGTGTGGGTATGCATTTACACATGTGCATGTGTTTCAACAAAGTTAGAACAGGGCAAAGGTTTCCATGACACCTCAATGAGGCAAAGACAACAAATCGCCAGCCAATATCCATTTTCCCCTTCTTCCTTCGTATCAGAGCTTTCTTTTTTCTTCTGGCATGTTACTACCCAGAATAAAGACTATATTCCCTATCCTTGCTAGCATCTTAGTGTGGCCATGTGACTAAACTTTGGTTAATGAGGTGGAAGCAAAAGTACTATATCTCTTTAAAAGGAAAGGAGAGTGCTGTGCTCTTATTAATTCCTGCTGAAAGGAATGCTGATAGAACGTCTGGAGCTCTAACAGCTATCTTAGACCACAAATGATCTTGAGAGTAGAGGTTAAGAACTAAGATGGGAGAGCAAAATGGGATAGATGGGACAGAAAAATCCTAGGTATCTGATAACCGCAAAGCTATCATATCAGTTCTAGATCCTTACCTTTAGATATCATTTATAAAATAATGAAATAAACTTTCATTTTCTTACACAATTGTTATTGTGGAGGTTTCTATTATAAGCAGCCAAAATATTATTCCCAAGTATAGACAGAAATATTTATAGAATATTTTAATACCTTAGGAAATACAGTAAACATTTTCTTCTAATTATGGCTACAATTATTTTTTTATTACCACTATTTAATTACCACTTTAGTGGTAGTTGGTAAATGTTAAGATAATGAAAAATATTTTCAACACTTTAAAACAAACTAGATACGTTCAAATATATTCTGAAACAGTCAACTATAATGTAGACAAAACTGCAAGGAATGCTATTCCATTCATTTTAAAGTTTATACTCCATTAAAAAAAAAGGCAATGAAAATGTCTGCAAAAAAGGTATAGTGTTATTACCTCATGTATATTGCATTCAAACTATCCTCACAAAATAATACCCCATCTTAGTAAAATAATATTATTACTCCAAAGAAAGAGTCACAGCAATCATTTATATAACATACACAAAATTAAAAGATGCACATTAAACCAAGAAAGTAAAATAAAAAACAATCCTGGACATAATTCAAAAAGAAATTATGCATTTGGGACTGATTTCTTTGTTAAATCTTTTTTTGATCTAATAAGTAGCTGTCCTTATATTTCAACCAAATAATAATACAAATTCAACAAAATTTACCACCAAAATATTTCTTTCAAGTAATGACTAGCTTTCAGGTAGCTAAATTTTCCATTTTTAACATGATCCAAAAAGCAAAAGCCTTATCAAGTTACTATAAATGCTGATATCATAGTTTAAAATAAAAATATTTCCAGCCAAATTTTAATTTGATTAAGATAGAATTGTTTAAAAAATACTTACAGGAGATATATTGGCATAATTTTCATAATTAGAAGTCAAAATGCCACATTTTTTATAAACATCGATCAGATCTAACATGTTACTATTCTTCAAGAAATCATCATAAATCCTCCTAATGTCCTCATAATGGTCAATCACTTCCATATTTTCAACTGGTAAGTTCAATTTCTCATGTAACAAATATTTCCAGGTCAATAAGACATCGCTGAGAGAGACTGTAAATTCTCCACTGTGCTGAAAGAGATAATACCACAAAGAAGATAAAGTTGGGTGCAAGATATTCATTAAATTATAATTAAGATGGAAAGTACAAATTGAATTGTCATAGAAAAGTCTACATTGAATTCCTGTGGGTTTTAAAAGAACATCCAAGTAATTTTAAAACCAGATATAAAAGAAAAAGATTTTGATAATTTTATAAAATATGAACAACTGTGACAAGTTTGCACATGACAAAATTGGCAAATATATAGTCATCTTTCCTGAAGTTCATTAAATTTCTCCTACCCAAAGTGGGGTAGGAGCTATACATAAGTGCTACTGATTGGGGAAGCATTTGATTATGTTAATATTGTTCCTTTCAGTTCTTTTTGCTAATGTATTTTTAATCTCTTATTTAAAATTGTCAATGCCATATTGAACTACTATATACCAAATTATTCCAAGTGTTAACTCTTAAAGCATGATCATAAAAATTTTTAAAAATTATGTTTCATTTCATTATTATTCCTAGGAAAGCAAAATATCAGTGCTAAAATTTGGGGTCTGAGAAGAATTTTGAACTTCCCGCTTATTAACACACTAAACTATAACAAGTGCTAAAAAGCCACAGTCAGGTTTCTTTCTATAAGTTGTTAGATGTTACTAATAAGGCAAAATTGTTCTTTTTTTCCTCTTCTTCAACTTCTACATGATAAATTATCCCAGTTGGACACGTTGAAGACTTTTTAATTGATTGTATTTTATTCCACTTAATATTCCAGACATTAATAATGGTGCGCTCCAAAACATGCCAGACCTAATTCAGTGAAAAAATTCTAACTACTCTTTCCAATGCAGCATGAGTAACAAATATTTTTAAGTATCCATACATGGTTTTGAGAAATGTATTTTGTTGTCTTCTTTCACAGTTAAGGCCTATTAATATGTTAGTAGTTTCTGCTAATACCAATGTCTTTCCACTAATAGCATTTAAAAATGGGTGGGTATTCAAATAGTACTATAATTCACTGGAACTAAACTGTAACATCATCTTTAGCCAATGATGAATAACAGAAAGAAATCAAACAGAGCCAAATAATGTATTATTTATGCTACATATCTGACTCTCAAATCTGTATTTTTATATCTTTTATAAAAAGTCAGTCACATTTTCTAGTTACTATCCAAATTTAAGACAAGGTGTCTTTACACTGCCATAAAATATTTAACTATTCATCTATATAGTGGCAGCCATGAAAATTATCTTTATTGTCCTTAGAGTAGGTGCCTGTTATAGCATAATTATGAAAACTAATTACATTTCATGAAACAAGTTCCACGAGCAACAACAAAAAATCAATAACTATCAAATATTGGATCCATAAGCCAAATGTAAGACAGACTTGCAATTTCTCAGCATTGCATCAAAATTGTATACTTTACTTTCAAATCCCACAAAGGTTATATACCATAAAATCTCCAAATGGTATTCAAGTTAAATAAATTCAGTTATTTAGAGTTTCAAAACTAAATTGTTTTCTCTCAAAAATTCCTAAAAACTATTTTGGTATATAACATTGTGTTAAAAATAAATTAAGATTTTTACCTAATGTAAATGTACAAATCTCATTCTATTGACTATAACTAGTTAAAGTAAAACTATGCATGTTCTTGATCTTGTGAGAAAAGGTTTTGACTAGATTAACAGTGTTTATACTGGGATTGTAAAAACATTTTAAATCCAAATAAAAATGCACTCCAGATATCAGTTTTCATGATCAGGTGCCCACCATGACAGCATATTCTATTATTCAAACCAGTAACAACTGATTGAGAAAGTCTGTGGTCAAATCAGAAAATGTTTTGCTAGGAAAACATGCCAGCTGGCTAATATTTGAAGGAAGTTCAAAATGTTCAATGCTTTAGTTCTCTGATGGACATAAGAAGGATTCTATCTCACAAGAATAAAATGAGAAAAAGTGATAGTTACACATTTTCAGAGCACTCGTACTTTGTATATTTTACCGAAGTTATTTTTATAATTACTCAAAATTTTAAATAAATTTTACATTTTTAACTAATGAGAATTTTTACTGTTATCAAAAGAGAAAAGATAACTGGTTTACTTAAGAGCATTAATTGTCTGTGTGTGGGTAAGATACTGAAAGCCCTCTAAGTCAGCTTCCTTGGTTATAAAGTGAGATTGTACAGATTAAATAATACCTGATAAATGGTAGATAATCAAAAATGTCAATTTCCTTTCTTTTCTTATTGAAAGTAAAATAATTGTTAGTTTGTTGGGGGAGGGGTGGTAGATAAATGTAATACAATTTTAAAAACTGTTTCTTCTTATTTGTTATGTCACTGTTGGGTCTTTTTCAAATCTGACTATCAACCACAGGTGCTGTGATTGCTGTCCATGAAGTTATAAAATTAATACCTTTGTTTCATCCAATGGAACATTTGTAATGTTCTTAAGGCTATTTGAGGTGAGAAATAGCTTTAGTAATGTAATTGCCAGACAGATTAAAACTATGAAGCCAATTCCAAAGAAAGAGAAGGCTAAAATTTTATTTGCAATGTAGTAATAGAGTTATATGTATTTTCCATATAATGAAGTCAGTAATCCTCAATGAATCTATAATAGATTTACTCTTTAGCAGCATAAAACTGCTAGAGAGGTGTCATATAATTTAAGCTAAAATATCTTCCCCCTCAGAAAACATGCCAAAAGCCTAAAACTCAAAGGTTATTTTAATGTATCATTTATTTTTCCCCACTAAAGCAGTTAAGAAAACAAACAGACCAATAGAATACAAACTCTACCAGGTATTCAAAGGTTTTATCGTAGTCAAATTCAGTTGTAAGGACTATACTTTAGGGACTTATGTTCTCAAACTTCAGAGAATTAAAAGTCTAAATAAAGCTTAAACAGGGTGGAAAATATAGGTGAGGGATATACATAACCAATTCCACATGTTTACTATCTGATACTTTCGAATGCATCTGCAGGCATGTGTATGATGTTTCATATTGCTGAGGGACTTGGAAGTCTGAGCACAGATGGAATGCCTGAGCTAACTCTGTATATGGAGAGTTACAGTAAAACTGAACCACAACCCACCATCTCCACTGCACACATGCACACACATGAACTGAGAAAAGTTCAGTTCCAATTCACCTTTCCTTTCCTTTCCCATCCAGAGTCTCAATTCTCATACTGAATTAAGTGAATTAACAAGTAGGAAGAGACCCTGAGTGAATGCTACGTAGACAAATCCTGAAGAAAAAGTGACTTGGATTGAATTATTTCAATATGTCAAATTTTTTACAATGAGAACTAAATTTTCTTCAGGGTATATTTCATTTTGCTTGTGGATGTATTTATTTTTTAATTATTCATAAACAAACAACAGGAAGTGCTTTGAACATGGTCTGTTTGATGCCAGAACAATAGCCCTCAATCACTATATAATAATGATTCTTAATTTCTTCACTTTCTCTCTCTCTTTATTTTCCAGTGCATGGCCACCAAGGTTTAACCTTCAGCTAGCCCATTCCATTAATACAATATTCTTAGACTCTATTACTTACCTTAGTACCATTTCTTCAGATTACTAAAGAAGGACAGATTTGCTTTAAAAAATGCTGAGGCAGTAAAATTGGCAAAACTTGGAAATGAATTTCAAATGGGAGCAAAGGAAAGTGATTCTGTGATGACTTGGGTGTCTAGCTCCAGTAACTAAGTGAATAATGGAAGGGAAGGTAGGTAAGTTGATGGAGCAAACAATATGGTCTACTTTTAAAAACTGATGTGAAGACAGTAATGGGACATCAAGGTAAAATATCCAGTGTCAGCGGATGGGTCTGGCATATAAATACTGATGAAACAACGTAAGGGAAGCATATCCAGTGAAACTGGGTAAAATGGCACACACTGGAAGACACTAACAAATTGTATAACAAAGAGAGTCTCTAAAATACATATAGAACTCTTTTAAAGAGTAAGAAAGGGACAAAAACAAGTCAACAGTAAAATAATCATAGGATATGAATAGACAGTTTAAGAAAAGGATACCTAAATGATCAGATAAGGATTTTAAAGTGCTTAAATGCTCTAGTTACCAGAAAAATTAAAGTGAAATACCACTCTTTCTCCATTCTAATAGTTTGATAACATCTAATATGGAGAGAGATAAGAAAATGATACTTTCCTACACATTAGACATAAATGTCAATTCTAACAGCCAAGCTGAAGAGCAGTATGGAAGTATCAAGTCAAATTACAGATGCATCTACGATATGACCCATTGAGTATGGGGGCCTAGAGAACATCTCATTCAGTGCACAGACATCTCGTTTCAGTGCAGAACTGCTTGTAATACAAAAAAAACTTCAATAAAATTCCATGGTCCATCAAAGAATAAAATCTACCAGGTATACAAAGGTTGACTGTTAAAAATGAATAAATCTGATCAAGTCTTCTGTCTATCAGTACCTGAAGAAGTCCTGAAAACAATGTTGGATGATAAAAACAAGATGCAGAAAGAACGTATACCATCTCCTCTAATTTTAAAATAGCACATTAACAGGGCAATTTGCCCAACTGGATAAACAGAGAAACTCCTCCTGGTATAAAATATCTATAATTATGGGAGGAAATAGGAAAACTTTTTTAAAGCATGACTGAATTGTCCATAAGAGAAGGGAAGTTACAAAAGATTGAAAGCGATGAAAAAATGACAAAGGGGTAAGCAAATGGCAGGGTCTGTGCTTCCTTGGTGTCTACCATTCCCTGGCACTTAAGAACCTGTTTTTTATGAACTCCGAGCACATAATTTAGAAGACAAAATTGGCCAAAAGAAGATGGGAAGCTGGATCAGAGACCCTCCCTGCCCACTATGCCATATAAAGCCAAAAGCCCCTAAAGGTGAACACTCTTAGTGTGTCCACTAGAAAAAAAAAATCTGCCTAGCAGAGGGTGATGGTAGAAATACTTGCTGGTGAAGAGATTTCTGAATAGTCTCAGCATTGTGCTTACCTCTCTGGGTAATCTTCTCTTAAATTTTTGCCTAATAATTAGTTTCTGCTGAGGTAAGGGACACTAGTCACCCACCTCAGCAGAAAATTGGAGGTTTATCCCCTGGACAGGGTAAAATAGTCCATGAATTGAAGAGTGCAGTTAAGAAAGAGTATCCAAATGAAAACCATAGGAGTCACTTGACAGTTTACTGAATTTTGACACTCCTTTCAGGCATCAACACATTGGCAGTTCAACTTTACACCATTCATGCAGGAAGAAAGACGACTTCTAAAGAAACTATTCCAAAATGGATATTCTATAGATATCAACATCAAAGGTTCCCCAACCAAATGACCCAGTAAGATCAGGTTGCCAAGCCCTAACCCTTCACACAGAACTTCCAATAAGCATTTGGGTACTCCACTTAAATATAGGCGAATGGTCAAAGATCACCATGAAGGAAATCTCTAATTGGAAGAAAGGAAATCCTTCCCAAATAAAACTAACAAAAACAAGGAACTTAGAGGAAAAAGATTATGCAAGAAGAAAACCTCAACAAAATATTATTAATAGTCTCAAAGGGGAAAATATTAGATGCTGGAAGCAAGAGCAGCATGATATTTTTAAAAGATAGAGAACAAAAAAGAGCTCAGGTAAAAAAGAGGATGACAGCAGAAAATCCAATAATTATTTCACTATTATACTAAAAAAATATTAAATATTGGTTGAAAGAAAAATAAAACAAGGTGAATCTATAAATAAACTGATACATCAACACAATGGAATATCATTCACTGCTAAAAAGAAATGAGCTATCAATCCATGAAAAGATACAGATGAACCTTAAATGCATATTACTAAATAAAAGAAGCCAATAAGAAAAGGCTATATACTATATTCCAACTACATGGCATTCTGAAAAAGGCAAAACTATGGTGACAGTAAAAATATCAGTGGTTGCCAGGGGTTGGGGAGAGGGAAGGATTAATAGGTAGAGTACAGAGGATTTTTAGGGGCAGTGAAAACATTCTATACAATACTATAATGGTGGATATATGTTATTACACATTTGTCAAAACCCACAGAATATACAATACCAAGAGGTAAAGACTCAGGATGTCTGCTACTTTCTATCAAATGGTTCATACAGAATAATAATGGTAATATGCATATATGTATATGTGTATTTGTACAATATATACATGTATATACTTATATTTTATATACACTTATAAAATACTAAAAGAATAATGCTGCAAATGTGGCAAAATGTTAATAATTGATGAGTCTAAGTGAAGGGCATACAGGAGTTCAGCATATTATTCTTGTCATTTTTCTAGAGGTTTAACATTTTTTCAAAATAAAAAGTCGAAATTGCTACTTCCTTTTTTTTTTAACATGTCTATGTGAGACTGATTTTTAACAATGATTATAATTAAAAACAAGGAACAAATGGGACTTGCAACCACCACCGCCACTGCCTTTCAGCTACAATGGCCCATCTGCATTTTCTCAAACTCTATCCGCAGCCTCTAGCCAATCTGCAGTCTCCTGCCACAGGACCTCTGCATATGCTATTCCTCCATCTTCATCTTGTCCCTCAACTCTTTTCACTAATTTTAAACCCTCTCTTACCTTTAGGGATTAGCTTTCTCTCTCTCACCAGATCAACTCCCTGGTGTCATAGCATCAAATACCTCTTCATCTCACAGCATCAAATACCTCTTCTTCTCACAGCAATAATTTTACATTTATTTGTATTACCCTCTATATAATGTCTGTCTCGCCTACTAGGCAATAAGTGTCACATAGGGAAGAGCCATGTCAAGCTTTGCTCATCATTTTAACCCCAACACTTATCACAATGCTAGGCACATAGTTGAAGCTGAAAAAAAGAAAAAAGAAATCTGTGGAAAGGAGGAAGAGAGGGGAGAAATTAACATTTATATAAATAGCTGAACAATTGTATTAGCCTCCTTGCTGTTCCTTAAACATGCCAGGCATATTTGTACTTCAAGGCCCTTGCATCTGCCATTCCTTTTGCCTGGTAGTCCCCTCCCACAAAAAATCCCATGACTTCTCCTTTCCTCCCTTCTTGCAAATCTTTGTTCAAATGGCTACTTCTTGATAAGGCATTCCTTGACAACCCTATTTCAAATCGCAAGAACTCCTCCACCCCAAACTCTGTACACTCCTTAGTTGCATCTCTGTTTTATTTTTTTCCCTGCAGCACTTCTTATTGTCTAAAATACTAAATATCTTATTTATTAGAGTATTATCTGTCTCTCCTCATTAGAAGGTTAATTCCACAAAGCAGGGATTTCCTTCAGTGCTGTATTTCTAATGTTTAGAATAATGTCTAGCACATAGTAAAAATTCAATAAATATGTTTGAAATAACTGCCTACCTAAGATAGAATTTTGTCAAAGTTTTTCTATGTTCAAAATTTATCTTAATACACGTTATTTTAAATATGCAAAACAACCAACTATCCATGCATAAGAAAAACCTTCTTTTACATTAAGATTATATAATTCCTAATTTTTAAAGTCTTAAATCATTCTTCCTTTTTCAAAATGATGGTCCTATTCATTATTTTTTCTCAATGGCTTTATGTGCCAACATGAGAAATGTTCAAATCTGTCAATGTCTAATTTGGGGGGGAGGGGTGTTTACTGGTATATGCAGTTTAAAAGTCTGGTAATTGACATATGGGATTAAAATAATTCATCAGAATGTCATTTCACTACCTAGCCCAACAAACCCACCGAAACTATTCCAACCCTCAAAAATAGTTTTTTCTTACCATCTCAAACCATCTCTTTACCATCTTCAAAACATCAAGATTTTAATCTCCCTGGATGCTTCTTCGGAACTAACTTTCTTCTTCTTATATCTTCTCTTTAAATCCTCTCATGCAAAGACTCCCCTCCTTTAAGACTAACATGTAAAATCCAAGAAGCCTTTCCTTACCACGCCAGCCTGCACTCACACTTGTCTCATCTGAACGCCTCTAATCCTTTAGGTAGAGCTTATTCCAAACATAAATTTGGCCCAAGCCAAATATGTAAGAATCACTTCAGATTAAAAAAAGGTTAAATGGTTAAAAAAGGACAATTTCCAGGGTCTCAGTGCAGATTAGGAGAATCAGGTTCTGAGACTGGGGCTGAGGAGCCAGGATTTTTTAAAAGCCCTCCTGAATGATTCTGATTTGCAGGCTGGCTTAGGAATAATTATATCATACAGTCTGAAATTAGTCATATAATACTTGGATTATATTTTAATAAACATTATTTATGTATGCCTTCTAGAATCTTACTTAGAGAAGTCTTATAAAATAATTTTCAACCATAATAATCATAATAGTTGCATGTTTACCTTAAGATTTTAAATTAAACATTAAATGTGCATGTCCTACGTTAAATTATACATATAAAGGCCTTATTTTGAAACAAATTATTTCAAATTCAATTGTAATATTTTGACACAGATATCCAGAGGCATTTGTGAAAACAGCATATTGCTATTATCATAGGAGGGTGTATATTGCAAAGAAATTATGTAATTAAGCTTATTCAAATGGGCAAAAACCAAAATACACTTAAAAAAAAAAAGTTAACCTAAATACAGTCTACTAACCTGTTTGTTGTTCTCTGCCATGGAAAGCTGCAATGCCAAGAGCATGGAGTCTGCACCACACACAGTAGTCCTCTCAGAGTTACAAAGAGTATGCCAATTCCTTCTGAACTCTCTAATCATATGCATAACAGACTTCTGGTTAAGCACAGCCATCCTCTTAAAGCAGGACAGAATACAATGTTAAAAAGACTTATTTTAATTGGAAATTAATATTTAACATATGTAAGGAAGCAGAGTTTGAGAAAAATAAGTAGTGAACAAGAAGTCATTTCATATTTACTAAGACTGCTTTTAATTAAATTTAGGAAAACAGAATAGAATTTCTGCTCAATCATACTTTGCTCTCCTTTATTTTTAAGCCAAATTTTTTGAAATAGCAAAATCTAACCTTCAATGTGAAAATTCATACAAAACAGATAAACACACATTTTGCAAACTTGTAATAACAGACACAAATATAGCTAGTTAAAGCTGTATTTTAAAAATATTATTTTGAGATAGATAGCAATATCTGCGGTAGATTGAAAAAAAAAAGTCAGTTTCCTCCCATCCCTATATTTTCCCAAAAAGGATGGTCTATTTTCCACCCCTTTGAATCTGGGTCAGCCATGTGACTTGATTTGACCAATAGAATGTGGCAAAAATGCCATCATGGGAGTTCCAAGCCAAGAGCTTCTAGAAGGCCAGTGCAGAAAAGAGTTAATACAGCAAGCCTAACTACTATCCTTCAAAATGCACATTTACAGGGTTGACCCTTGATTGGCATCTGGGAACTCAGATTTCAGGAGGGTTTCCAGTAAGAATGTCTCACTGTGCCTAAACTATTTGTACAAACAATATAGTTTACTCTGAATACACTCTTTCCTTTTGAATCTGGAGTTTGGGGACACAGAGGATACCTACTTGTTCAGCCACCAGTAAAAACCCTTGGCGCTGAATCTCTAAAGAGCTTCCCTTACAGACAACATTTCATATATGTTGTCATAATTTGTTGCTGGAAGAATCAAGCATATCCTATGAGACTCCACTAAGAAGAGACTTTTGGAAGCTTGTGCCTGATCTCCCCTGGACTTCTCCCCATGTACCTTCTTCCTTTGCTGATTTTGCTTGGTATCTTCTTGCTATAATAAATTATAGCCATGAGTACAACTACATGCTGAGTCCTCTTAGCAAATTACCCAACCTCAGGTGGTCTTGGGGGCCTTCACACAAGGCCTTGTAATTTTAGCTCTTACTCTCTTGCTTCTCAGAATGATGTATAAAGAGGTCCAAGTTAGCCCGCTGGAGAGGCCATATGGAGGAGAACCAAGGCACTCCAGCTGACAACCAGTACCAACCCACAGACATGTGAATGAGGCCATCTTAGATTATCTAGTTCCAATCAACCTGCCAGATGAAATACAACAACATAAGCAATCCTAGGCAAGACCAGCAGAACCACCTAGCTGAGTCCAGTTTAAACTGCTGATCCACAGATTCATAAATAAACAAAATGATTATTGTTTTAAAGCCACTTAATTTTGGAGTGGTTTGTTACACAGCAATAGACAACTAGTATAATAACAAGCTTATATTTAGAAGCTTTCCTGGTACCAGACACTTTTCAAAAGCTTGGTATTTATTACCTTATTCAATCTTCACAAGAGTTTATGAAGAAAGTCTATTATCCTCATTTTACATCTGAAGAAAAGGATTCCATGTGTCATTCAGCTAGCAAATGGCCAAACAGACCTAAGTTCAAGATGCCTAACTCCAAAAGTTATGCTCTTCAATCACTACATTACATAAGTTCTCCTGACAGACAAAAGCCTTTCAAAATAATTGGATGTAGTTTCAATGTTTATATATCCAAATCGATATGAGGCAGTCAATTCCTTTCTCTGAGTTTATAGACATGATTGCTAAAGTTTTTTCCCCTACTTTCTGTTAAGTACCCTAGTCTCCAACATATTCATGTGCCATTATCTTATTTTGGGTATTTTACTTTACACATCCCATTTACTTACTCCTGTAATATTTTTTCCTTTTTTTTAATGTGTTATGAACAGAATTCCAGTTGTTTACCAGGTATCTTGGGTTTGTATGATCAAAAAAATGGGCATTTGCCATTTACAAAAAAATAATTTATAGACATAGTCAGTGGTGCAATATAAAAGTACAGGAAGAAGACTATAAGTTAAAATATCTACAAAAAATACAAATCCTACTAAACAGCTAAAAGTTATATTTATCTTCAAAGTATCACCCTCATCACTTAAAAGAAAAAAAAAGTGACAAAGTAACGCTTCAGTGATATGATCAGTTTGCCTGAAATAAATCTTTTGTAGTAAACCATTTACTGGTAGTTTTTAAAGATACTATGAGTTGAGATTGCTAAGAACAAAGACTAATGTGTAATTAGACTGTTCTGAATCCTGGCTCCATCACTTACAAGCTGTGAGAGCTTCCCTAAGTTATGTCACCTCTCCCTGCATCAGCTTGCTTGTACTGAAAATGAAATAATAGTCCTATCCCACAGGGTTTTTTAAAAAGTAAATGACATAAATATAAGTTAAGCTTTTAGAACAATGCCGTGTATATAAAATTCAATAGTCGTCCAGATGTCAGCCCACTTTTTGGAAAGGGTCAAATGGTAATCATTTGAGGCATACAGGCCATACACTCTGTTTCAACTACTCAGTTTGTCCTTGCAGTGTGAAAATAGCCACAGACAATACATAAATAAGCGTAGTTGTGCTTCAGCAAAACTTTACAGAAAAGGAAATCTGACTTTCATATAATTTTCATATGTCACAAAATATTATTCTTCTTTTGATTTTTTTTTCCCAACCATCCAAACATGTAAAATCTGTGCTTAGCTCAGGAACTGGCTACAAAAAGACAGGAAGTGCCACCAGTTTGCCAACCCTAGTTTAGTCTCAACTCTTCCAGTAGCTGGCTGGCTGTGTGAGCCCAGGCAACAAGCTTTACCCCTGACTGCCTAGGTAAAGGTTTAACAGCTTGCAGCCAGTTATGAGAAGTCAATGAAACAATGAAAATGTAAGCATTCTGAACGTCAGGCTGCACTATACAAAAACAGTAGTAGAAGGCGGCAGCGATAATAAACATTTGTTTTTGAAAAACTGGATTCCAGGCCGCACGGTAGCAAAAATTGTAAGATGGGAAAATGTCACTGGGGAGGCAGTAAAATGGTTAAAATAGCTACAGACCAGGGTCCACATCCAGGGTCCCCATTTATTGGTTATGTCCTTCAGTATTTAAAATACCTGACGAACATAAATTTCTTCATCTGTAAAACGGGGAAGATATCTCCTATTTCATAAAATTACCAGACGTTACTGAGACAAGTAAATAATCCCCTTAGTGCCGGGCACTTAGTAGATGCTCCAAAAACATGTCAGTCGTTACTGCTCATTGTCAGAAAGCAGGTCCTTAAACAGTTCCTGGGGAGGATATAATAGGGAGAGGTCGAGAGCGGCGGGATTGGAATCTATATACGTCTCGGGACTGGAACCCTGGCTTCTTGCTTAACTAATGACTCTAAGTAGGGCTCTGTGGGCCTTCGGCTTCCAGTCTTCAGATGACCCCCTTAGGAACTTCCAGCTCCAACCAGCACTGGGTCCTATGAACTCTGTTCAACACCCTCAGTCCAAAACAGGCTCCAAAGCAAAGACACTGCACAAATACGGCGCTTTGCTGTCACCGAAAAACCTTCACAGCGTTCCACTTAAAGTGCGACAGGCGCGCAAGGAAGAGGCGACACTCACCTGGCTCGGGGAAGACCCGGCAGTTGCGGCCTTGCCTGAAGAAAGGTCCAGCCAGGCTGCAGTACAGCAGCTGTTCGAGTGGTCGCGGATTTATGTTTTAAATCTCGCGGGAGAGCCCGGGAGCCAATCGCCGCTCCCGCCCTCTGACCCGGAAGCAGAGCAGGCGCGCGCACCGGCCCCCAAGTAGCCTTCATCTCCTCTTTGGCGGCTTCCAGGCGTCCTCTGGTGCGTATCGCGCGTGAGCCCAAGGGGGAGCTCCGCTATGCTGCTGGCTGCCCCGCACTCCCCCATCCTGGGAGTTCCTCCTCTCCCCCAACCATTTCCACCCCTTTCCCCGCTGACCTCGGGTTCGGGGAGGTGATAGCAGGGTCTTGCGGGACTTGCCTGGCACTGGGAGAGGCGTCCGAGCTCTTTGCAGGGTCTTCTCTTATTCGCTCCCTCCTTTGCTCTAGTAATTTTAAAGGGGCAAGTCCAGCCCACCGTGTACAGTGAGACCCTGAGAATGTAATTAGACTGGGCACTACTTTAATGAGCAATTAGGGACCGAGTTTCCTGATATAAAATCTTTTGCATTTCCCACACTAATATCGTATTGCTTATCACCCCTAACAAATGTCCAGTCTTTGATGCCTACTCGTAAGGTTACTAGTTTATAGACTTTCCGAAGTGGAACATTTCATATGATTCTGAGCAAATATTCATCAGGTGTTTGATGTGTTTGTTATGGAGCCCAGCTGTTTTCAGGACAACTCCTGACGTCCAGTTAAAAAGAAAAAAAAAAAAACTCTTTAAAATCCATAAGCCTCATCTGGGAGTGCTACTTTCAGACTGCACTCCAGGCCATGAAAGGTTGAAGTTTCGTGCCTGGTTTTATGAATATTATTTTTATATTACATTCTGGCACTCCTTTTTCCAGACTGTATATTTTGTATCTACTTAGAACTATAGCACTTTTCACATTGAATCATAAATAACCCTGGATGGTGAGCTCCTTCAGGAGTCTGGGTTTTTATTTTCTAGCACTGGTGTCCAGCATGTAGTAGTCTTTCTGGCTCCTCATATGAGCTTGGCAAGCTAATGTCTCGGTTTCTTCCTCTTCAAAATGGGGCCCATAGGTAATATCTCCCACTTAGGTTTATGCAAGTATTAGGCGTGCTAATATCGGTAAAATACTTAACATGATGCCGGCAAATAGTGCTCCATAAATGTTAACTTATTAATTTTTATGAATATATTATTAATGTGATTACATCTTTAAGTACTTGCTATATCTTTTAAACAAAATTTTTTGGTAACTTACTCTGCAATTATCACTCAAAAAGTGGCCTTCCTGTTGCCACATCCTTATTTTGATTCATTTGTTGGAAATAGCTAACATTTTGACAGGTTTTATCTAACTGTGTCTGTGCTGTAATCCACAGTTTCGTGACCTTGACCAATAGAAGTCTATTTTTACAACTGCACAAGTTTTACCATACAGGATGAAGCAAGATGCCACAAGAAATGCTGCCTACACTGTGGATTGTGAAGATTATGTGCATGTGGTACAATTTAATCCCTTTGAGAGTGGGGATTCAGGAAACCTAATTGCATATGGTGGCAATAATTTTGTGGTCATTGGCACGTGTACTTTTCAGGTTAGTATACAAAACTGCAGTGAATGACAGTGAAGATATTTCACTAGTAAGAAAACTTACACAAACTTTGGTAAAGTTTGGCTAAACTTTGAAAGTATATTGAATTTGAATGTCAAAAAAAGTGATATGAAGAACTGCAGGGAAACGCATTCCCAGTGATAACAGATGCCTGAGGTTTGTGCAAACATTAAATACGTAGTTAAAAAGAAAAATACAGTTGACCTTTGAACAATATGGGTTTAAACTTCGTGATCCACTTATACACAGGTGTTTTTTTTCCAATAGTAAGTACTAGGCTGCACTGTTGGTGGGAATGTAATTTGGTGCAGCCACTATGGAAAACAGTATGGAGATTCCTTACAAAACTAAAATTATGGTTACCATATGATCCAGCGATCCAACTCCTTGGCATCTATCTGGAGTAAACTAATTTGAAAAGATACATGCACCCCAGTGTTAACAGGCGCACTATTTACAATAGCCAAGGCATGGAAACAACCTAAATGTCCATCAGCAGATGATTGGAAAAAGAAGTTGTGGTATATATA